GGGTCCAGGTACATCTCTGGGTCCACGGGGTCCAGGTACATCTCTGGATCCACGGGGTCCAGGACACCTCTGGGTCCATGGGGTCCAGGGACATCTCTGGGTCCACAGGATCTAGGGACATCTCTGGGTCCACAGGATCTAGGGGGTCCACGGGGTCCAGGGAAATCTCTGGGTCCACGGGGTCCAGGGAAATCTCTGGGTCCACGGGGTCCAGGGACATCTCTGGGTTCATGGGCCCAGGGACATCTCTGGGTCCACGGGGTCCTTGTACATCTCTGGGTCTACGGGATCCAGGGACATCTCTGGGTCCACGGGGTCAAGGGACATCTCTGGGTCCACGGGGTCCAGGGACATCTCTGGATTCAAGGGGGCCAGGGACATCTCTGGGTCCACGGGGTCCAGGGACATCTCTGGGTCCACGGGGTCCAGGGACATCTCTGGGTCCATGGGGTCAAGGGACATCTCTGGGTCCACGAGGTTCAGGGACATCTCTGGGTACCCGGGCCAGCTCTCAGCTCAGTCAGCAGTAAACGGCAGCTAGACTGGGTCAGGAGGTAACTCTGGGCCTCCTGGACTATCTGGACCCACAACAGGACTCTCTGGTTGGTTTTGATCTGGTGGTAAAAACTAATAGGAGGGGTCTGGTCTGGATGCTCTCTGTTAAGGTTGGTTGGTTCTGGTTTGAGGGGGTCTGTAATCTGCAGCTCCAGGGCCACGTATGGCTCGCTGGTTTCTCTGCAGTGGTCCTTTGAAGTGCCAAACAAAAATGAAACATTTAAAGTTTGTCAGAACAGAAAGACTCGTTTCTTCAGATCCACGTCTCTGAGATTTTTTTAGTAAAGAAAAACTGACGGATGAGTTTCTTCTAATCACTCGTTAGCATCTTCGTTAATCCAACTTCATGACAATTTCCACCAGAAAATTCAAGTTTAAAAAAAAAAAGTGTTGAGGAAAACAAAATGTTTTTGTTACATGTCATAAAAAAAGTATTCTGCAAATATACAACGTTTTTCTGAGACAGGGAGAATTACAATAAATCTGCTTTTAATATGAAATTAATAAATTCTTCATATGGGAGGTAAGTCAGAAATAAAAAAAATAAGAATTGGACAAAATATTCACCGAAATGATTTGCAGGGATGAAATATTTTAGTTTAAAATGTGATGTTTATTCATTGAAAAAATACACAAAATATTGTCCCCTCGTTTGTCTGTAAAAACACATTAAATCGTGTGAGTCAACCATTTATTCAACTTTAATGCAGTATGTTTAATAAAAGTAATACATATTTAATATTTATATAAAACCTGCCAGTTGTATTTTTCTGTTTTGTTATTTAAAAGAGTTCAGAGGTCCTCAATAAAAAATTAAGACTAGATTAATATCGATCTAATTTTTTGCGCCCCCTGCTGGGCCGCAGGACGAACTGCAGCTGAGAGCTCATTTGGAGCTTTTGAAACTTTTGAAGTTAATTTTGTTTTTTAACTTTTGATCAAAAATAAAATTAGACTAAAAAATAAACACAAAACTCCAAGACAATGTCCAGATTTTATTTGGGTGTTTGTAGTTTGACAGCAGAAGGAGCAAACATCTGCAGGAGGCGACTCGGATTATTTAATCTCATCAGTAGTTTTAAAATATTTTTTTTATTTCTCCACTTTATTGATCCTGTAATTTTATAACTGATTTCTCGTAAATTCATAAACAAAAAACAAAAAAAGCACAAATTTAGTTACAAAACAAGAACAGTTTAATCTGAATATTAAAAATAAATGATCGAACTTTTCAAAATTTAAAAAAGATCATTAATAAATAAATGTCTTATGTTAACAAAATTTTGACACAAATTTGGTTAAAAAAAAAAGACAAAAAAAACCAACCTTAAAATTACAAAAAAAAGTATTTAAAATTTTGAAAATATTTTTAAATATTTCTGCAACACTTTATTCACAAATTAATTTGAAACTTTCCAAAGGTTTTAGTTTTTTGTAACTGACATAAAACCTGAGGCCCCGCCCCCTGGCAGACCTCTGCTCCAATCAGGTCGTTCGGACAGAAATAACTCGTTTGGATGTAAACAACAACTTCTGTACAAATAAAAACAAAAACAAAGCTCAGATAGAAAACAACAACAAACTGAAGCGATTTCTGTACAATTCATAAAGTCATAAATTTATTTTCATAATTTCTTTTATGGTTTCTTAAACTTTTACAAATAAAAACATCAAATTAAATGTTTGATCTCTGAGTTCACTGCTCGTACACAAAATAGACTCCGGAAGGTTCTCACTATTTACAGGGATGGAGGACCAGATCCAGGAGGACCGGACCCTGAGGGACCAGAACCAGGAGGACCAGTCCCTGAAGGACCAGAACCAGGAGGACCGAATCCTGAGGGACCAGAACCAGGAGGGCCGGACCCTAAAGGACTGGATTCTGGAGTATCAGACCTGAGGTCCATGCGGAGGCTGTGAGGTCAGAACTGGTTCTGTTTGGGTTCATTTCAGCACAGCTGTGACCCAAAACCTAAGTTCGGTTTCAGAACTGAACCAGGATCTGTAAAGGTGGGTTCAAAACCCAGGAAGCAGTCCTGAGAGCAACAACAAGACCTTGGACCTGGATCTGAGTCCTGAACAGGGCCTTGAGTTCTGCAGAACCGGACCTGACTTCATGACTAAAGTCCAGTTGGTGGACGTTGGAGAAGGTTCTCCTGGAAACCAGACTGGGCTCTCTGATGGATCAGAACTTTATTTTGAAGGTTTCTTAAAGTTCGGCTCATTTGGGTCCAAACCGTGGTTCAGACTTCCTGTTAGAATAAAGGTCTCGTCGAACTGGACTGGATCTGACCAGAACCAACACCAGGTCGTTTTTCTAAATATGAACTAAAACAACTGGACCTGTTTCCTAACTTCAGGTCCAGTTGGTTCCCAATGTAAACAGAAGAAGTTCTGAAGGAGCGGGTCCAACTAGACCTGGTCTTTGACTCGTTGAACCATGCGAGATGTTCTGGTTCTGGAGCGGGTCGGCCTTGTGGAGCTCCAACAAACAGGATGTTTATGGTACAGATGGAGAAGGTCTGGTCGACCACCAGAGCTAAGACCAACAGAACAGCTCTGATGTTCTGGAGATCTTCAGGTGCTGGGTTTGGACCTCGGATTCAGGAGCAGGTTTTGGTCTTGGACATGGAACAGTGGACCGGATCTTCATGAACCTGGAGAAGCTTTATGACCCTGTTCCCCGAGACATTCAGTGTGTGTGTGTGTGTGGGGGGGGGGGGGTTAAGGTGTTGGGTTCTTCTTAGGTCTATCTGATCCCTATAGATCCGGAGCAGAGTCCGAATCCTTGGAACAAAGAGGAGTTCATCCTTTATGTGGGTTGGACTCCTCCAGGGCTGTCCCTGGTCTCTGATGGACAGGATGTCCAGATGCAGTCAGATGATGTGGTTCTGTTGGCGTCTTCGGGCCAAGACCTTCAGCACTGGGATGAGTCACTTCCTGAGTCTGAGGTCACGATTCTTGACCGTAACAGGTGGACTGTCCCTACAGGTCCGGGGGGGGG